GATGAAGCGACCATCTTGGTTTAATAGTTAGGCAAAAGCCGCTGCGTGGATGCCCACAGTTTGCGTGATATTGGTTAATGCTCCTTGACGAGATCCGCAAGGTTGTTTTTTGGTGCAGCTTGCTTGGATGTTAATTTCCCACCACAGGTACCTAAACCTACTCCTTTGAAGGTTTCACTTTCTACAGTAGTAGTTAATTTTTCATGCACTCCCGTGTCAATTGGCCTTTTCACAGTGCGGAATACGGTCCCACGTTTCAACAGTTTTTTCTCTTGGCTCTTAGGCACACCCAGTTAATCGGAAAATAGAATTCCAGATCGGATGTCGTCCAAAAATATTGAGGCCCAGACTGGATCCCACTGAGGCCAGGGATCGGTACACTCTCTCATAGAAATAGAAAGTTTGGAGGGAATACTGCAAAGAAATGTGCAGAGCACCGCGAGACACGGGGAGAGCTGTCAACTCTGAGACGAAAGCGAATTTGGACCACCACCAATTGTAAAGACCCGCCGACATTCTAACTGCTCGCAAGTCCCCCACTATAATTTGGGTCTTTCGGTAAAGCCGCGTAAGTAGAAATCGAAACGTAGTGATATTTATTATTATTTTTTTTCTAATCTACGTGGCTTTACCGAAAGACCCGGAGAATATGAATTCCTGCAGTCACGAAAGCTTTAAGTCAAGTCCCCTACGTCGCGAGTGGGGGGGGGGCAGCATGTCTCACGCTCCTCGCCTTCCCAGAACCCAGGAGGCACCGAGTTCGGACTTCGTTCCACGCAATTTCTGTACCCCCCCCCCCCAACCCCCGCAGCCCACTTCATCCCATATCACGCTCGTGCTTTTCAAATTGAAAAAAAAACCCCAGCAGCAAATGAAGAGTTTAAATAATTGGACGTAAGAGGAAATTAATTAACTAATAGTCAACATTGAAATAAGCAGGTGAGGTTGTTATCATACATACGATTTGTACAGAAACTCTGAACGGAGGAGAATGGCCATTTGATTCAAGAGTGATCTTCAAACTGCTATGAAAGGAAGGGAACATAAAACTGAGGCGGGGCGGGGGGACAGGGGTCACGCTACCGCTCACCGACACGATCAAAACACTGCTGAAGGTAACGCGGACGGCAAACGACGAGAAAAAGAAGATAGTGGTGAAACTTGCAGGAGTTAGAAATGTTCTAGGAAGTTACTCCAAGTTTACTCAGCACGGAATCTATCTGGGATGTTCTGGAAAATAGGTAATTTTCTATACTTTTTAGGCTAAGCAATTTCGAAATAACACTTACTACAAAAGGAGCAAAAATTGTGTTAGTGTAATTATCAACTCTTTTATAACCGCACACCTTGCGCAACACGGGAAGTGCTCGAGAGCGAAGGCTGGCGAGTGCGTGTGACTGCACTTACTCGCTTGAACAACACATTCGCTCACAGAAGAGCCTACTGTGAATCTAATCCACATCGGAAACACTCGAGTGGATGGGGCAAGTGGCCGACATCAGATTTAACGACGACGACAAAAAGTACGCACTGCGATGGGATGGAAAGGCAAAGGGGGGGGGAGGAGGTAATGAATTCCCGAGTCTGTCGGCGTGGACTGGGAGGAACAAGGCAAACCACTTCGCGTGGCAGGGCCGGCGAAGCGCGAATTCGCGCGGCCGAGAACAAGGCGGGCGAGTAAACGCGGACGAATTTGTTCTTTGTGCACGCCGTAGAGCAAGGCTCCCCGACATGGACTTTTCTCGCGTTTAATCCTCAGACGAGCGGCGGCGGTGTTACGTGTGTGTGTATATCTTATATTTATATAGCGCTGTTATGCAAGGCGCTTTAAAAGGGTTATGAGCAGTACAATGAGTGGAGCTAAAGGTGATACGGTGATGGGGTATGGGGGAGGGAGGTTTAGTGTGTATGGGAATTACAGTGGGTGCCTAGGGATAGAGGATAAGATGGGGCCAGGGAGAAGAGGCGGGAGTCTTGAGGGAGGAGTGGAAAGTGGACAGGGAGGGTGCTCGCCGCTTCATGTGGAGGGGAAGTTTGTTACAAGTGCAAGGGGGCAGAGAGTAGGGAAAAGGAGCAGAAACGGTGGATGGTGCACAAGGAGACGGGGAGGAACGGTGAGCAGTAGGAGGAGAGATTGAGAGTGGAAGCGGGGCACGGTGAGGCAAGGCCATGGAGAGATTTAAATACCAGCTCAAACAAACGGTGATGCGCTGCCGGTATTCACTCACAAGTTTGCTTTCACTTCGGCAAAAGTTTATAAAGCCGGTAAAAAGAAGCGTAAGTCATCCCTCTAGCGCTGTGACTCCTACCCAAAAGTGCTGTCACAATCTGTCCTGGAAAAAGAGGTTTATATATTGTTTTATTTATGTGGCAGGGTTCAATGGATACAGCAGTGCTCTGACAATCACTGCCTGGGGGCGGCTGCTGCTATGGGTACAGCGGTAACAGCTCACACCCCGGGGCAGCGCTCAGATCCGATGTGTCCAATTACGCGAGTATTTGGACGTATTGGGGGTACGCCGGTGCAACGTAACACACCGGTCCTCGTAACGCAGTCTGACGATGTTGCCGTTGCCCTTGAGCGAGCTGCAGACTCTCCATCAGAAGTTGCACTTAAAATTCGGCAGCCGCTTTCCCCATTCGAATGTGCGACGCCGCGAGTGGTAATCTCTCGATGCCGCCATCCGCCAACATAAATGACTCCGGGAATGAATCGAGGAACCGTCCCGACCAAGTCTCGGGCAAGAGGAGTCTAATCTGCCTTTGGAGCACAGAGCCAGTCATCATGGCTGGAGGCTGCTATACGGCGACAGACTGCGAAGCTTCCTCGTGTGTTTAGCTGCTCATAACCGTTCGTCTTCCGACTGTTTCGACATCACGAGAACCGATTTTGTGACGCACCATCCACCACGCAAGATTTTCTGATGGGGCTGCGAATTGCGGGGAAAATAAAAAATTGTTGCACGAAAAGTGATTTTTATTTTTTATATATACCGCACACCACCGGTGTAGAACCGCCAACACGTTCACTTGCCCCAACACCCTCGAGGATGTTTCCCATCGTCAGTGGCCACTCTGTGAAGCCTACAAAACATCAAATCTGATCCATGTACTCCTGAAAAGTATGCTTATGAACATATGTATAATAAAAACAACACAATACAGTTGTTCGTTGATCGATTAACGATATTTCGATAAACGATCTTCCTCCCAAAGGGGTCCGGCCCCACTGTTTCTCTTCACGATAAGTTTACGATATCACGCGGGCCCCGTCAATTTCGGCCAATCGCAGCTCCCCCAAGTGGAGTTGGCAGACCTTGGCCAATCAGCGACGCCATTTAAGCCAAAAATCTTCTTAGCCGAGAGTAAGAACTTGTATTTTATGCTCTATGCATGCAGATTTTTACGTTCCATTTATTCATTATTTAACCATGTTTTTTTATTAACATTAACGCTTTAATGTTTTTATAACGTGTATTTATTAAAATTGCATGTTTGAATATTATAAACTATGTTTTTAGGGTGAAAAAGGCCAACTTCCGATCGTCTTGGAACAAATTAAGTCTTTAACATGCAGTTCCCGTATTTGATTAGCGGTAAATTACCTTAACGATGGTTTTCGTGGAACCAATTAATATCGTTAACCAAGGGAACGCTGTATTGGAGTCTGCGCAACAATCCAGGGTCCTGTTTTGTGTGAACAGCACCTCGTACGATTTTCTTACTCGTTTTAAAATCCTCTCGGTTTTTAATAAATATCATTAATCGATGGGCGCGTAGTGACTTTAAGATGTTTCTTGTTCATGTTTTTGTTTGTTGCGGTTGCACCCGATTCAAGAGCCGAATGGCTCACAGGGCTATACCAAATAAAATGATATTTCGATTTAAAGCTTTCGTGACTGCAGCGGATTCCTCTTCTTGGTTCTTTCAGTAAAGTCACGTAGAAGGGAAATAATACAATATTTTATTATGTTTTATTTTTAGTATTTCCCTTCTACGTGACTTTACCGAAAGAACCAAGATGAAAACTGAAACTCTCGGTAAGCTGCTTTCAGTTGATAACTGGCAAAAAACATCGTATACTCTCACACACCTTTGGATTTTTATGAGAATATACGTTCAGGAAAGAGCCTCTATATCTAGCATTGAGCCTAGTTTTATCAACTCAGCATTGAGGATTTAGAACACATCAGCATTGGGCATTAGTCAAGGCATTAGGATCCTATTACAAACCTCATCCTGATTAACTCACTCGGCAAGCAGAAAATAGTTTGGCCTTCATGGGCAGCAAACCCCTGTTCAGTGAGACTTGTGTTCAGGAAAATGTACTGAACAAATACACCAACAGTCAAATCGAATCAATCCTGGATCAAACAGGCAATTGAGCAGGGCAACGTCGGCTCGTGGGCCTTCTGCTCTGGATGGAAATTCCACGTTGCTCTGAGGAGGGGGCCACGCTCTCCCAAGGGTGGAACACTGTCGACTTCACACACAACGGTCGCCGTTTTATTGACCCCACAGCGACGACGACAGGCCGAGCATGTGGGGCGCCCCGTTGGCGAGTTGTTAACTGCCCCGCCTGGTACACAGGAGGCCGTGGGTTCAACCCAAACCGTGACGCTTGCTGTATATTTGGAGTTTGCGGTGTCTCTCTTCCCGTGAACGCGTGGATTTTTCCCCTCCCAGTTTTAAAACGCACGTTTACAGTATTTGACTGCGATGACATTTCCACGCGATAAGCCACTCTGGTGAGCAGCTGTCATTTGTGATAGCCAGGTGGCTTCTGAAAAAGAGCGATATCCAGTGGAACTTACCTGGTAAAATAAAATAGCATAGGATAGTATATCCGTCGACTGGTATTGGAAGTTATGCCCTTCCGAGTTGACTTGAGCATTCTCTCCAAACCACCATCATTGGCAGCATGAGATAACGGACCGGGTGGGGGGGGTGGGGAAAGAGAGGTGGTGGGCGAAGCTTCTCTCTCTCTGTGCCGTACGTACCAAGCGAGCCCAGGATGAGCAGGATGGTGAGGATCCACACGAGCACCGTGGAGATGTAGCGGATAACCAGCATCATTATGATGGACAGCACTGCCACGCAGACACGACAACGGAGTCAAATGAGGACGCCCTCCACACCATTCCGACGAGGTACACGCGTAACGTCGTCAATTTTTTCTTCCGATTCCGTTACGGAAAAGGCCAAGCGGGAGGGTGTGTGGCGCAGTTTGGCGCCAGCTGTCGTAGAGGCAGCTATTGGCGGTCGTGCCGCTATGCTTCTCTGCGGTGAGTAACAAAGTCTTACAAACAGCGGCGCTACGGCCTCTCTTAAAATAAAATTAACGCCGGACCGCTTGCGCGTTCCGGGATTCCGCGGTGAACGGGGAACCCCACCCTGCCACGTGCAGATGTCTCGGAAGGGCAAAGGGTTAAAATCGGCATCACGTGAAACAGCAAATATCGACTTCCGTGCATCTACAGGATTGAAAACACCTTAACTAGCGTCATAATTAGCATTGCCTGACAACTATATATACAGTGGGGGCTGGAGTTTTTGGCAATTGACTTAATTCAGAACATTTGAACTCGCGGACAATACGCTCCTCACAGAGGAATTGGCTGAACATCTCAATATAGGACCTTCCTGAAAAAGTCTTGACACTCAAGAGAGGTTGTCATGGATGAACAATTAATTAATCATTACCATATTATTCATTAATCATTAGCATATTATTAATTAATCATTAGCATATACAATCTATGCTCTTTAACACATTAAGCTGTCCAAGTTGTCCACGATAGACGTTCAACGTACAAACCTTCGCTCCAGTGCGATATGTGCTACGTAAATGACGTGTCAATATCCTGCTGAATATATCACTTGATAATATTAACAGTGTGTAATATATAGTAAACAACACATACTTAAACGCATTGCAGCACAATTCCTTTTGGCAACAAAACTCACTTAAGACGTATTCTTTGGGTCTTTCGGTAAAGTCACGTAGATAGGTTAAAAGAAAATAAATTGTTGAAAATAAATTATTTTCTTTGAACCTATCTACGTGACTTTACCGAAAGACCCAAAGAATATGAATTCCTGCAGTCATGAAAGCTTTAAGTCAAGATTCAATTCAGACACCGGCTCTTTTCGAGTTATTAGTGAGAAGTTATTTCACCCCGGGAGCCAGTTGTGAAAACTTTTTAATTGGCTTCTTGCAAGTGGCTGCCCTTGAAAAGACACGTGTTTCCGAGCTCCAACAGATACCTTTGTGGGAAATGAATGCAGTGTTTCGTCTGGATTGTGTGTCGGAAAACTGTGACGTCGATATAAAATCACCGAGTCCAATGCAGGAGGGGTCCTGCATTGGGACGTTTGGCCCATTTAATTTACGAGCGTTTCGTGTAGCTTCTTGTATAAAGTGCAAGTGTTGCGAGATTGTGCCACAATTACTACTGCTCCACGAGCAATTCAGAACATTAACATAACGTTCCACTTATCCCAGAGTGCAATAAATCAGTGAATATTTTTTTGTTCGTAGGAATATATATTTAATCATCATCAGGAAAAATGAAACTTCATTACGTCATTATATTATTCGTGAAATTGTTAAGACCTGGAAGTTGTCCAGCGTGTATTTTAGATTTGAAGCTTTCGTGACTGCAAGGATTCATACTCTTAGGTTTTTTCGGTAAAGTCACGTAGGTAAAATATAATTCAAATAAAATAATAATAAATGAGAAGAAATCAATTAAATCACGACGTTTTGGAGGCAACACAAGTCTCCGTCTACTGTATCTTGATACAGTAAATTTAGCTGTGACGGTCCCACCTGAAGACGGAGACTTGTGTTGCCTCCGAAACGTCGTGATATAATAGATTTATTGTCATTTATTATTTTATTTGTATTATTTTTTACCCAAGTGACTTTACCGAAAAAAATCTAAGAAAATTGTCCAGAGTCCTCGCTCTCGAATGGGGCGTTGGGCACTGTGCGTGCGATGAACGTTGTTGCCGTGCCGGCCTTCACAGTCGCTCGCTTCACAGCACTCGCCCCAAAAGTCTGTCAAGACGACACGGGGGAGACCTTTCTTGTTGTCACGCCGATTCGTACCGAGCGCGAGGAAGCAGAGGCCGATGATGACGTCCTTGCTGTTCATGATGCCGCTGATCACCTTGTGGAAGATGTCATTGCTGTTGATGACGCCGGCCACCGTCTCGGCAAACTTGATGAAGCACGTGATGTTCGTGGGCACGCAGCGGTGCAGCACCGGCTTGCTGCCGACGGCAAACACACACGGGACGGGCAACAACAACAACAACGACGCACGTACGTACGTACGTGTGAAGGAGGAAATTATTTTTCACCGTACGTAGCCAACCGCGCTAGTTGGAGGTGCGGGGGAAAGACAATAACACTAAACACAAAAGGCAGTTCTAAAGAAATGAGTTTTCAATCTAGATTATTATGAAGTGAAAAGCTCCAGTGACTTCCTAATATCTGACAGAAGAGCGGTTCCAGATGGCCGCAGAAGTGCATTTGAAAGCGCTCGATGCGGTGCCCGTCTTTGTTGGATGGCGAGCCAAAAGCCAAACAACACCACCAACACACGCACGTTGCGTGCTACCGCCACCCACAACCATTGTTATTTTTTTCCCAGCGAGGCTTCGATGAGTTAGTATCAACTCGTTTTCAGGAGGGCCCAAACCAAGTTTCCACAGCGGTGGAGCAGCGGGGGCAATGTTTCTGTTGCTTCTGCTGCGTACAATCTCAATTGAGCAATTTGCAGGTATCCTTCTCGCATTGGGATGTTGCATTGTATTTTTTCTCCTTAGCCGTGGGGAAGAAACAGCGAGAACCAGATGGGAACCAACGCACAGCAGGGAGAGAACATACAAACACGACACAGAAAGGAGTCGGAAATCTAACGAAGGGGCCTCTTTCTGTGAGGGGCGCCACCCTGCGGGCACGCCACCCTGCTTAAAGGTCACAGTACAATTCAATTTGTGTTGATAAAGAGTTGATCGGTAAAAACCGCAGCTCCCGGCGCCATACAACAACAGTGACACTCGTGAATCGTGGCAGCCGGTGACGGGGCGGGGAAGAACAGAAGGTTTATCTTCTTGGTTCTTTCGGTAAAGTCACGTAAACGAAAAAAATAAAAATAAAACATAATAAAATAATTTGTGTTGATAAAGAGTTATTTTATTATGTTTAATTTTTATTATTTTATTATTTCCCTTCTACCGAAAGAACCAAGAAGATGAATCCCTGCAGTCACGAAAGCTTTAAATCGAAATTTAATAGGAGGTTTGTGAAGGCTGTACTTGAGAACAGGAGCGGGGAATCGACAGCATGGATGGCTGGGAGGGAGCTTCCAGATGATGGGCGCAGTGGAGGAAGAGGGGCAACCAGCAATTGTGTGACGGCTGACCCGGGAGCTTCAACAGAAGGCCTTTGGTTGTTGGAGCGCAGAGTAAGTGAAGGAGTATAACGCTAATCAGTATTTATACCGCAAGAAGAATCCGATGAGCTATGAAGCTCTTTTTCCACAGACGTTCAGTAGGGGCATGGGGGTCAAAACGTTACAACAAACAATACATAGATGTGATACGAGTGCAAAGTATAGGAAAGGTAAACAAAAAACTATAAAAAATATATGCCAATAACACCAACATTTTTTTATCTTACCAGGTGAAGTCCACTGAGCTTTTAGTTTTATTTTCAGAAGCGACCTGGCCACAAACGATAACTCAACAACAAAGTGACTTATCTCGTGGAAACCTACACAGTAAAACCTTGGATTGCGAGCATAATTCGTTCCCGAAACGTGTTTGTAATCCAAAGCACTCGTATATCAGTTGTGATCACGTGACGCTCGGCAGACAAAGCGTATACACGTACTACTCGCATTGCAAGACCTCGCTTGTTAATCAAATTAATATTTATTTAAAAAATTTGCTCGTCTTGCAAAACGCTCGCAGACCAAGTAACTCGCAATCCAAGGTTTTACTGTATAGCGGTCAAAATCATCTAAATGCATGATTCTAAATGTAGAGATGAGAAGTAATGAGGGGGACACAGTCCATGGGGGATCTTGAAGAGGGTGAGGACAATTCTGTCGGCGATCTCGTGGGACTGGAGACTGGGAGCCAGCGGAGAGATCGGAGCGTGTATTGGTGTGACGTGGCGAGACTTCAAACCAGAAGACGGCATTGAAAAAGCGTCAACATGGTCGCACAAGTAAAACCATCTCTGCCGAGAATTTATACAACACAACGATCCCCCATCCCAGACGAAATGAATGATGGTCAAATGACTACGCAACAACTCATATTGACTGGTACAATTTGTGAGTTGGCAGCAGCCATCGCTGAATGCTGTGTGGGATTTATAATAATAATGTCCTTAATTCAGGAAAGCCTCTCTGAATTTAAATACTCTTTTTCAGAACGGTCTCGAATTACATGCGGCAAATTCCGTTTTGCGAGCGTCTTGCACGTGGATGCAAACTGGGGTACCAAGACTTCCGCAAAGACGGATTCAAAAATCTACTGCCTCCAGCCATCCTGCAAGCCCAGTGGGGTTTGGAGAGTTTGGAGGTTCTACGGCGGATTCACCAATGCTCGCTTCCAAAGTGCTGAGTTACAGGCGCGCGACACCCAGCCCAGATATGAAAGCCGAGGCAACGACAGCACCGGCACTATATTATGTGCACCGATGACGCGCTGATGCCACAGCACTGAAAATAAAATTAGCAATGCAGAAGCAGATGCACGACATGTAAGCGACGCACGAAATATATAACCCAACCGTAACACAATTTACGACGGACGCGGAGTAATAAAAATAAAACATAATAAAATAATTCTCACGACGTTTCGGCCACAACGCAAGCAGCCATCCTCAGGTGAAGAACAGGTCTGTTGGAAAGACAGCATCTGAATGGCACTTTATCCGACAGACCTGTTCTTCACCTGAGGACGGCTGCTTGCGTTGTGGCCCAAACGTCGTGAGAATTATTTTATTATGATGTATTTTTAAAATTGTATTATTTCCCTTCTACGTGACTTTACCGAAAGAACCAAGAAGATGAATCCCTGCAGTCACGCAAGCTTTAAATCGAAATTTTGGACGCGGGGTATTTAATGCAACTGACAGCGTTTCTACAAAGCATTCTGCAGCCCGCGTATCGTGAGATGACAACACACGCCTGTCAAAAAATGAAGGTAGTCAAAATTTCCCCGACAAAACGCCAGCCAAAGTTTACATCCTCGCTAGCCGTCGCAACGTTGCCAACTGTCACCGACGACACGCAATGAATGATGTTTTTTTACAAAACCATTAAATGCAAATTGGCCGCCGATGTGACCTTTTACGCTGGCCGCTTATCTCCCCGTGCTGCTAAGCAGGCCGAGCAAAAACAGCCTCAAGAAAATTTGGGAACGTGGCAGAATATTGGCATTAGCCCTTTAATTGTATTTTTCTGCGCGACTGCAAACGGAATGGGGGCGAAAAAAACGAGCGGCACGGCGCGGCGCGGCGCCCGCTTCCAAAAGCGACGACGGGATTAGGGCCGCTCGGCAAAATTGGCGCGACACGGCGAGCGAGAGATTACCCCGCCGTCAGTGTCAGCGCTAAGTCGAACAAACAAACACCGCTTGCAATACCGCGCCTAATGAATGCACCGCGTGGAATCAAAGCAGAACTGCGGAGTAAGCGTGCTAGCAACGTAACGCAACTGTAATGAGATTACCCAAAGGTGGGTTATCGTTAATACGAGTTCTTAATTTTTTTGATCAGATTGCATTTATTAAGTACTGCGTTCCACGATTACTTTCATGGAATAGAAATTAGCAAAAGAATTTAAAGCGCTGACAGCTTGTGATCATGCAAGGATATAGCGCAGTGGTTCTGCACCTTTTTGGTTCTCAATCGTTAAATGTATAATGTTAATAAATACGTAGGTTTGACGAAACAAAGTAGTTGTACTTATGTGCCTGTGCTTAATTTGTGTTTTCGATGATTTACTTTCTAAAAAAATCGCACCCCCAGAAAGGACATCTCGCATCCCCAGGGGGTGCGTGCACCCCAGGCTAAGAACCACTGATATTATAGAGTGATCTATGGGCAGCCAATGCAAGCTATGAAGTCTACAGTTGTGGTATCTTGCCGTTAAATCTTGGCACATTAAATTGAAGCAACAAAGGAAGGATCACAGATCGAATGTGGAATTATGTTACTTCTAAAATATCAGCTAACCAGTTATCAAAACTTGTTAAAGTCACCTCCCAAATACTGAATTAAAAAATCAAAACATAGTGTTGTTTCAACGTGTCAAATGTCAACATTATTGAGAAGCAGAACATTTTAAGACGTCATGTTCTGCTGCGAACAACAAACGTTGTGTATTCAAATATTGTAAGTGCTTTCCAAAAATTACATTAACATGAACATTACAATTGTTTAAATTAAAAGTACAATTTATAAAGATGTTATCCATCAAGTTACAGCTGGGTTATCTGATGTACCAATCTTCGGTTCGAGTGTTCGGCGAATCCAACAAGACCAAAAAAGAAAAAAAATCAAGTCTCACCTGTTCCCAAGTGTACCGCTGGATGGGCGGTAATGGGCAGGGCCACGTCACACTGGGCGTGGCTTGTACAAGGAGGGTTTCCTGCCTTCGCAAGGCAACTATGTCGGGGGTGACTGGCGTTGTTTGTTAAAGGGCTAGAGTAATAATCGATCACAATGAAAGCAACCAATTGTGATTTTGTAATCGATTAAGCAACTTAAAATCAGCTAAATGCTTCAGCTGTACAATCATCTTAAATCACTGAAGCAAGAGGGCAGGGCTCATCACAGTAGGCAACCCTGAGCCAGCGTTGGGAATTTCAAACACGTATTGTGTGGGGGGGGGGGGGGGCAGTCTTTCCAAAGCACATCTGCTGCTGACATTTCACAACCCCAGGAGGAATTATGGGCCGAGTCAAACCCCAAACCAGCATATGACCTGTCAACCTCTCCGAATGCGAGTGAAGCCACCGCAACCAGAGTGATCTGAAATATCTACAGCAGCACAAAATATAACTACCACTCAAAAGTGTAGACCAAGATGTCTAGGTGCCCATGCATTCTACCGTCATGTTTAAATGCGGCCCCATCATCGCCGAGATCAATTCGAAGGTTGACAACCTCGTAGGAGGTCAACAGTGGGGATGTCCTACGAACAGACTGGCCCCAGTTATGGGAACGTACTATTTTAATCGCAGGCTCAGGTGGGATACATGACAGATCGAAGCGCCGCACCCACACACGCCGAAACAGGGTGGGGGCCCCGACCTTATTTTCTTCGTAAATCTCGTCATGAGATGTTAACTCCCTCGCCTGGTAGACAGGAGGTCGCAGGTTCAATCCCGACCCTGACGCCTGCTGTATATTTGGAGTTTGCGTGTCTCTCTCTCATCATCATCACGGTGGCTAGGAAATGTTAACTACCTCGTCTGGTAGACAGGAGGTTGCGGGTTCAATCCCGACCCTGACGCCTGCTGCTGTATATTTTGAGTTTGCGTGTCTCTCTGTCATCATCATCACGGTGGCTAGGAGATGTTAACTACCTCGCCTGGTAGACAGGAGGTCGCGGGTTCAATCCCGACCCTGACGCCTGCTGTATATTTTGAGTTTGCGTGTCTCTCTCTCATCATCATCACGGTGGCTAGGAGATGTTAACTACCTCGCCTGGTAGACAGGAGGTCGCGGGTTCAATCCAGACCCTGACGCCTGCTGTATATTTTGAGTTTGCGTGTCTCTCTCTCATCATCATCACGGTGGCTAGGAGATGTTAACTACCTCGCCTGGTAGACAGGAGGTCGCGGGTTCAATCCCGACCCTGACGCCTGTTGTATATTTTGAGTTTGCTGTGCGTCTACGTCTCCCCGCGGTCGTGTAGATTTTTCTCCGGGTCCTCCGGTTCTTCCCCTCCACATTTAGAAACATGCGCTTAGAGTATTTGGCTGCTATAAATTTACACGTAAGCCACTTCGTTGAGATATTATTTGTGGCCCGGTTGCTTGTGAAAAAAGTCTGAAAAGCTCAGTGGGCCTTACCTGGTAAAATAAATAGAGTTGAGTTTTAATTGCCTTTCGGCACGACCGTCAGGCGCGAAGAACAGGCGTGGTGATTGCATCCCGCTGGGCTCAATACCTGGCTGGCACCGGCAGCTTGGGACAAGTGCTGCCCGCGAGGATGTCTTTGTAATCGGCAGGCTTCACCGAGTAATCGCAGAGGCTAGAACCTGCGAATAATAAATCACACACGGGAAAAAAACACTTTCAACGCACACGCCACCGTAAGCACAGAAGTGGCCCACAGAAGGGTGTTCTTAACGCTCGCGTTACGACTCCGTTGCCTTACGTGCCAACGCCGCTTTCGCTTCCATTTTTGTAAACAATCAAGATAAGATCCACCCGCAATGCCGTGCATCACTTGGGAATTTACGGAATAATTATGTGCTTTTGATTTGAATTTTATTTTTATTCTTAAACAGTCAAGGGGGTCCTGCAGTTGGAGCCAGGAAACTTGCCTGAGGCCTTTAAGACATCCGTAACAAGACCCTGGGGTTAAACAGGACTCATAGCCGACTGATGCTTGAGTGGTGATTAAATTAATACCACCAGGATTACAATCGGGCGGCCATGTCTTTCCCCTCTGCCGTTGAGAGGCAGTCGCGATTGGGCTAAATCAGCCAAATCATGTCCCAACGCTGAGGCAGTCCCCAGCTCCAAAAGAGACCCCCCACCACTAATCTCACACGTACAATTTTGGCAGCGGGGGGAGCTTTATGGTGGCTACTGATGGATGCAGAACAACTCGGCTTTGAGAGCACGACCGCCCGTGGGCACGGGCCATGGGCCTCTGTGAACGGTAAAAATAGCGCGACTCAAGACAAACGACGATTCTCCGAATCCCCAAAGATGCCGGCGAAGGGAGAGCCAGCAGCGGAGGAGGGCAAGATCAGCGCTGCGCGATGCCGTGGCTGAAGATGGTGCCCCCCCTCCCCCGTAAGCCACGACTAAGCTGTATTTCCACAAATGTTAACTCAATAAAGAAAACGACTTTTTTCGCTCAATGCAATGTAACACGAGCTGATGCGAGATCAGGGGTCAGCAACGAAAACAACAATGAGACATTTTTTTTCGAATTCGATAACAAACACAAAACCCCTTGGTATTTCAAGAGCCGCAATGCACTCCGGTGATTACGAGACGGCGTGGTCCATAATAAATAACGTCGCGAGGCTGTCTTTCAAGAGATGCATGCGGCTCCGGAGACGGAGGTTGCCGACCACCCTGCCCATGGTAAACTGGACTCCCATGGTGAACTGGACTTCCATGGTGAACTGGACTTCCATGGTGAACTGGACTACCATGGTGAACTGGAATTCCATGGTGAACTGGAATTCCATGGTAAACTGGAATTCCATGGTAAACTGGATTCCATGGTGAACTGGATTCCATGGTGAACTGGAATTCCATGGTAAACTGGACTGCCATGGTGAACTGGACTGCCATGGTGAACTGGACTGCCGGGGGGGGTGGCAACCATTGCCCCAAAAAATTGCCCTTGTGGCTCATGGCCTACGGAAAACACGCACAACCGAACACCGTCTTAAAACTTTCCCTGTCGAATACAAAAAAAACCATCTCGGTCCACCTACTGCGTTGAGGAATCAGACACTTCCGCACTGCGTTTGCCTACGAGTAAACCATCCCGTGAACTCCGGTTATCTTCGTAGCGGCGGCTTTTGGCTAACAAAGACGGTCACCGCATCGCACGCTTTCATGTGCCCGTCTGCAGCCGTCTGGATATTAGGAAGCCACTGGAGCTATGCAATTTTAGATTTAAAACTCATTTCTCGAGAACTGCTTTTTAGGTGTTTAGTTTGTGGTCCTTCCCCCGCACTTGCAATTAGCGCGGTTGGCTTCGTACAGTGCGAAAGAAGTTGTGACAAACATACATACGACAGAGGGATGACTTGGTGCAAGCCAAAAAAATATAATGGATATATCACTTTTTGTCAAACGCTATAAACACGGACTGACAAAACACACGTATATAATCCCAAACAGTTACATCGCATGCATTAAGGTGTGAGGTTAATTTCTGAGATCTCTCCGTCCGTTCAGTGAAGTGCCATTATTTATTTTTCTTGTTCAACAAAATGTCATGGACAGCCGTAATTTCGCACTGCGTGTGTCGTGCCCATAATGGATCGCGACGTGCGGGCGTGCGTGCGTGCGTGCGCATGAACGGAGAGAAATCGTCATCTTTGCACCTACCTTTAAAAGTCTGAAGTCAAAGTGATTTATTTCTCAAAGTGTATGTTTCTACTGTATGTTGAAAATGAATTTTCAGTTTTCTGGGACTCCTCCCCACTTTCTCGATTTGCTATTTTTGGTGTAGCAGTCAATCTCTGTTCAAATTTAGAAGTCGATCAAGAGCCACTCCTCCCCCTCTGCTTCCCCGCATCGACACTGTAACTCTGTGTGTACGTTGACCTTCTTCCGCACCGTACGTAAGCCAACCGTGCTAACCGGAGGTGGGGGGGGGATGGACAAGAAACCAAACATCTCCTGTTTACAGCTCTGAGCCAGTGGTTGAAATTCCACATTACTTTAACAGGGTCCGAGTCTTCTGACAATGTGGTACTTGAATAATTGACCCCGCCGCTGAGTCAACTCGCAATCAGAATTTCAACTAAATCCTCTTTATCATTCAGCTCCAAGGTTCACCTTAGATGCCCCCTTTAGAACTCATCACGGTGAGCTTTACTCTACGAAGCTAATCCCAGCTCGCTGGAGTTACGTAGAGATCTTCACTGGGCGCTCTTCATCTACGAAGCTCTCAAATCAAAATCAGCTCAGGATTTGAAACCGGCCATTCTCCACCCGTGAAAAAAAAAATCCAAGAAAGGCGAGGCAAACCTCCGATTGGCCGCAGAGCATACCTAGATTGAGAACTCATGACTGGTGCTGCCAAGACCTTCGAGGGCCTCTTACGCCACTGCCCTCCTGTCACTTGGCTAACATCTTAAAATTTAAGCAAGTTGAAACTATTTCATTTTAAGCTATTTTTTTATTTTACCAGGTAAGGCCCACTGAGCTATATAGCTATTTTTTAGATGCGACCTGGACACAAGTGATAGCTCAACGAAGCGGCTTATCACGTGGAAATTTATAGCAGCCAAATACTCGAAATGCATGTCGATTCTAAATGTGGAGAGAAAAACAGGAGGACCCGGCTGAGAACACGCAAACTCCGAATATACAACAGGCGTCAGGGTAGGGATTGAACCCATGACCTCACCACTGGAAATTTGAGCCCGAACACCACGAAAATAACAGATTGTTACAGGCAGCGGGGCGACCTTAGCAGAAACTTTAATTAATAAATAGCCAGTCCAGGCTAGACAAGACAGCCAGCAATCACGAACCATTTTTACACTGGCACACCTGAGCCAGGCGAGTGCTGGGCACTCACGGTACATGCGGTTTTCCACTGGCTTCTTTGCAGAGCCGAGCCAGAACCAATAATTTTATTATTTCCCTTCTACGTGACTTTACCGAAAGAACCAAGAATATGAATCCCTGCAGTCATGAAAGCTTTAAATCAAAATTTAACAGAACCAATCCATTAAACTCTGGCCTCACAAGGCAACCTGACTCTAGCTCGGGTCCCAAGCAGCAACCCTTAAAGTGCGACGCCGATGCCACACGCTCGTCGCGCGTCATGCCAGCGGCACGGCTCGGATTCTGCAGTGGAAAAGCGGCGCAGGGCCGGCTTGCGTTGTGGCCGAAACGTCGTGATAATTATTTTATTATGTTTTATTTTTATTATTTTATTACTTCCCTTCTACGTGACTTTACCGAAAGAACCAAGAAAATGTGTGCGATCCACCAACCTCTGCTGCCTCCACGGTGCTGCATTACAGGCCACGTGCAACGCCACCACCGCTGCCACACGTACTGGAAAGCAGTGACGGGCTGGGGACTAAAAAATCGGCCCAGGCTTTTGTAAACACCCCGGCCTAAATTTGGGCTATTGGGAATCTTTTTATTTTAATGGGTTGCGCGACACACTGCATATTTAGCTAGATTTGTGATGTGACGTATGAGCGCGATTTTGCTGTGCGATCTCATTGGCCCATTTGGGCCGGTCACAAAAAAACAAATGGAGGGGCGTAAATGAACAATGAAGCGTAACACACTCGAGGTGATTAAAGAAAAAAATATTAATTCTTTTACTCTCATCACATTTGATATTTCCCCGCACAGACTAGCCCACTGGCCCTCGGAATGGACCGGCGCCCCCAACCAAGAATTTGCCCTACGAACTGCTGCCCTCTGGCCAGTCCCGGACTGCCAGAAAGGAGGAACCATGTGACAAGGCGACCGATGCAGCCAATGGCGCGAGGGACTCACTGTTGTTTTCGGCAAAGTGTCGCACTTCCTGCATGGTGGAGAGCTGCCGCTCGGGGCACTGGGATACGCACAGCGACATGGAGCGGAACTTGAGCTTCACGGGGTCCAGGTTGCACGCATCCAGGAAGAATACGAACCTGCAATGCACGCCGGCCAAACGCTCACCTCGGGGCCCTTTGCTTCACCAGGTCAAGGCAGATGCACCGCACAAAATACATCATTTTGTAGTCGGGATACCGAGGATGTGTCACAGCCTCGACGCTGACCTCACAGCCTCGACGCTGACCTCACAGCCTGGACGCTCACCCACAGCCTCAAGGTACCGTGGTGTCCTTGATTAATCACTTGACAAGTTCCTTTGTTTGGCTGTCGGGTGGTGGGAGGGTCTTTTGACACAAATTTGGCCAGATCATGACGTACCCAAACACAACAATCGACAATAAATCCACTCGTAAGGAGTCCTACACCGTGCGGTGCATTGTGGGACCTGCTCCACCAGCGCGTGGAATGGGAGTAGTAGTAGTAAAAAAACCAACACATTGGTGGTGGCAATTCATCTTGGAATGAGGAGCTGGGATTTTTTGGAGGTGAAATGAGCGATTATATTGAAATTAATATCACCTGTCGAATTGCCGTGAAATGATGTTGCTTTGAAATTAAAGTGAAAAAGTACCCAACTGTTTTTTTTGGGTCGTGTCAACCTCTAACTAATAACATCCTGTTGATATTAATTCGTTCTTCCCCCTGGTGTTACCTTCATCACGCATGGACAGATAACAAACCGATGGAAAAGTTTGTTCCAACTCCAACAAAGCACTAAGGCATTTAAGATGTTTTGTTAATATTTGTTACCTGTAAGCCTACCAAAGTTTGGAAACTTAATGAGCATTTTAAAATGTTCTGCTACAGCGCAATTGTGGGGCCCCACATTGTCCTGGGACGACTTCTCGCTCGTAAAGTCAGACAATACAACATCCTTTATTTCACAGGACACACTCTGCGGAGGACGATATAACACTCGCCAAAAAAGATCCCCCGTATAACCTTAACAGACTGTAAGGGCAAGTGCTGTTAGCAAGCAGATATCAAAGCCGGCACGGCACACGAAAAGGGGTGGGTGGCCAACACCACGCCCGACCGCCTTTGTCTCCCCAGTGGCGATGTTTACACATCGCACCAGGGACTCATTTGAGGCTGAGTCGACCTAGGGGAGGCCCAAGACCGGTTCAGATAATTGTTACTGGTGTTGGCTGGGAGCAGGAATCGATCTCAAGTCGTAAGGTTTGTTAACGCAGCATGCTAACCGCTACACCGCGTTAAAAAACCGCAATTCTCCACTAAGTGGCGTTGACGTCACCACGGCGCTTGTGGCAGGCTATGTGCACTTTAAGGCCACGTGAAGTGTTCAACGCCCGCTGGCAGGTCACGGGACAGACCCAGGTGCCATGAGTTGACCACGCTAGTACACACACACATAAAAACTCCAGCTGAGACTTTTCCTCAAATTTAAAATCAACAAAACTCTCCCGTAAAAGTAAAAATGAGCCACGGTTGAATATAGCATTCAGGGTTTATGTGCCCGATTAAAATCTGAAAATTAAAGTTCACGCGCTGCAATAAAATGTTCCTAACCTTTAATGATCTAGCACACTTTAAAAATAATTCAGGATGTGCGTCTGTACGCGAAGCATTAGCATTCCTGTTCACGACGTGCAAACGCACATTAATTCCATTTTGCTTTCAGGGAGTTATTTATACGCATGCAGTTGAATGATTCAAAGATGCCCCACAGAGACGGAGTGTTTGTAAGACATTTCATCAGCTACAAAAAAGTAACTAATATATTTTTTTTAAACCACTAAAAATTAACCATTTCTAAGTGTGATTTTTTTAATTACGCATTATTTTTTACAACAATAATAACATTCACTCACGGTTTTTCCCGCATGTCCTGGCCAGACATGGGGAAGTTCTGGATCGGGGTGTTTTTGGTTCCGCACAGATTGCCATAGCTGTCGTAGCCGTAGATGAGGCGCGAGGCGGCGCCCGTGTAGATGGAAAACGCCGCGACAAAAACCTGCGGTGGGGGGGGGGGACAACGGCGGAACATGACCAAACAGCTGACAGAGGTCGGCAAGGGCAGACGGAGGGTCATTAAGAATCCACAACCACCACCATCATAATCGTCGTCACAATCATCGTCATCACAATCATCGTAATCACAATCATCTAGATTTGAAGTTTTCGTGACTGCAAGGATCCATACTCTTTGGTTCTTTCGGTAAAGTCACGTCTGTGAAAATAATAATAAAAAATAAAAAAGTGAGAAACTAAATGAAATCACTTTCACATCCATTTAGTTTTTTTCACTTTTAAATGGTTATTTTATTATTATTTTATTATAATTTTCACCTACGTGACTTTACCGAAAGAACCAAAGAGTATCACAATCATCGTCGTCGTCACAATCATCGGCGTCGTCAACTATTTTTACGTCAAGACTCTATGCAGCTGCATGGCGACAGCAATCGGGGTGGTAATAATCGGTTCGATATCCTGGTAGGAGGTAACCACAAGTCCACCGTCGGCATCTTGGATTGTTATCAATGGGTACCGCGGTATTGGAAGTCAACAGCTTCACGTCATGTGCAGTGGCCGACTGCCACCACAATGAGAATGTGGAATTTCCACCACGAGGCCAGGCCCTCGGAGATGTGAGTAGCACGCCGAGCTCATTTGAATAGGGAGATAAACTTCTGACTCTTTGTCCAGATCACAACTGTTGATTTTACTCTGACTGTACTACGCTTTCAAGCCAGGCTTCGTGAAAGTGCCTTGAGTTGCAGTGGCATTTAGGCGTCACACAAGTAGACATTGAATTGAATTGTAAATAAAGCTCAAGTGAAAAGTTGGGCGCGCCTCTTATTAATGAATCAGCTATAGATTTTTCAAAGAGCTCGGCTCGTAATTGGCAGGTTATTAAATCTCAATCGAGGCTCTGCTCGGCCTGCCATCCCTCCAGGATTATTGATCGGCACCTACTGTCTTCTGGCGAAAGTCAACAATGGTTCTGCTGTCGGGGAATGGCTCACTTGAAAGTGTGAAAGCTGCATTTTCACAAGAGGGTATAACCACAGGGCTCCATTTCTCCTGGAATATTTTTAGGGGCCCTCTCAAAACCTAAAGTCCATGCACTCCACCCTCCGCTCTCCCACTTCCCCACTGTCGAAATATGTTCTGGACCTCAGTCCCAAGAAAATCTAAAGCTCAAATTGATCCCCTGGGTAAGACAATCCATCCATCCCCTCGATGACTTGATGAATATACAGATTCACGGAAGCGTTTGAATTCAACAAAGTATTTCTTTGTAACACGGTGGTGGTGGTTGCAGTGGCCACGGGCTGCGGGAGTCATACGAGCTCATTACCATAAGCACACGAATTGAAACAGATTCATTCTTATGCACAGGAGTCGACACACGCGACTTATTTGACTCCCTGTGCAGTTTGCAAAGCAGTTTGCCACAGCTTTCCCTCAGCGTAATTCATCTCGGCGAAGCAAAAACATTTTTCACAAAGGCACAGCATGGCCATTCACTAATTGCAGAAAGTACGCCAGAGTTGGGTCTTCTGAAACTCACAACAATAAATTCACGTGGAAAGTACATGCAGCGCAACAGCCTTCGCACGCGAAGGGCTCACAAGTGCTGTCATCACACCTATCCCTCTATTTATGGATCGAAACAGAAGGATTTCTCCATAAACCTGTCGAATTTATCAGTTACTCCCGCCATGTACGATATTTTAATAGTTTTAAGTACTTTGTCAGTTTCAACTCTCGTGTTATTTGATTTGGTTTTGCCCTGTTGATTTGAGCATAATTGCAACCGTTCAATTGCAGAGTTGCTTGAACATGTTTGATGTCACTTCGCAGACAATCACCATCTGACACTTTCTTAGTCTGATTTATGAGCATCTGGATGAGAGGATTTCTGCGTGGGGTGATGGTGTGACTGCATAATACATTGTTTAAATGCATGCCTGTACAGGTTACCTACCATATGTCAATGGGGATTACGCAGACAATAACATGCACTGCTATTTTAGTGCACACAAACGACAGGAGGTAACAAGAACAATGTGCATGCATAATGTACGTTGATTACCATAGAAATAACCCAACCGGAAATGGATACCCATTGTAATTTATACGCATTCATTAATCCTACCCACTTTCATACGTGAAGGGCTCACAAGTGACGTCATCACATCCATCCCTCTAAATAAGGAACGAAACAGGAGGATTTATCCACAAATATGTCTGTCCGCCTGATGATGCTAGTTGTAATAACTGGCAAAACGTCGCACTCAGAGTATAAATGTTGTGGATTTTCTCTCCAACACAACGGTGTGCTGTACTAGTGACGAATTGGAACGTTCTGTTTACGTGACAAACCTTACTAATTGGCTGTGTCGGGTGGTGCGGGTTTAATGACATTCATATTCATGCGATCTAACCCAACAAAACCTATATTATGGATAGGATAGGAAGGTTAAGTTTGAACTTTAATCCATCAGTATCTGATCTTGACAGAAGTAACGCTATTTCGTATTGTGTATTTTGGGCGTCACAAGATGATGAAGTGTTGGGTTATTTATTGACAATGTATTACTTGCAACGTGTTTCTCTCCAACACTGTCTGGCAATGCGATATTTAATTCATAACTAATGCTGGCGAAGCAATACGCAGCACATTAAAACGCTGAACTTTTAAATTCGACAGAGATGCGGGATTTAACAATGGCATTTATCCAGCACCCTGACGCGCCTTCCCTGTTGCGAGCCATGATTGATAGTGACGGTAAACATTCATGAAGAAAAAATGCAAACCGGTGGTGCTATGATTGGCAATCTTGACACAGAAGTTGGCTTTCTCTTCAACACCAGCAACTGGAGTCTCGCTTGTCCTATATGGTTAAGAGCTGCCCGAAACGGAGATGCCGTTAGGATCTTCCAATGGGCTCACTCCTACCGACCCCGTTCTCATCTCGCATGCCGCCTCACAATTTGTCCTCTGCCTCAGCGAAAAACACCGTTGACATTGCCAGTCAAACTCTGCTGAAACCGGGCGGTCGCTCCTTCTCCTCTGCTGCGTCTAAGGTCAAGAACCCATTCTCCATGCCCACCAACACATGCCGAATCACTCCTCTGATAGTCCATACGTAGATGGTTTATTTCTGTGTCTACGACAGTCAAGATTCGCTCGGCCTGAATGCTATCCGTGTGTCGATTGCACTGTAGTTTAAAAAAAGACTTAAATTCCTACTTCGTGAAGCCTTTTATCAATGTCACTAAGAAAACGCCCTCACTTCCTGGCTAACTTTCTCACTTTGATAATAATCCATTGTCCCTCCTGCTTCTCCTTATACAGCATCACCGATGTGTTCAACTGCCGTTTGAATATAAAAATGTGACTGCAATTGTCAGGATGTTGCGGGTTTCTGAAGATGTGTTATCTCGGTGCATCCAGGCGAGTAGTCGGGGAGTTGCGGCGTGGATAGGCCTTCCAGGTTCGCCGGGTCCTCCGAGTTTACCCCCTCCGCATTTGGAATGAACATCACGCGCTTAGAGTATTTGGGTGCTGTGCATTTCCACGTGATGAGTCACTTCGTCGAGATATCATTTGTGGCCAGATCGCTTTTGAAAACTAACCATATGGCAACGTACGGTGCGAAAGTTCAAACATACATAACCTGGGGGGGGGGGAGGGCAGCTTCATTTATTTATTTTTTTGTGATTTGCTTACCTCTCCTATACTTTTCAATGTTATCGTTTTTTTAATGCATTGTTTGTTGTTGTAACTGAATGACCCATCCCTACTGGACATATGTGAAAAAGAGCTTCACATATCATCGGATTTCTGCAGGATAAATAAATACTCTGATTCGGAGGTTCAACTCAATCGGCGGATGCCCTTGAACAGATCCTGGGCGGCTCTGAAGACACGATGTCCCGTCGGTCTCTCTCTCACCAAGACTCCATCGATGTTGATTTGGATGCCTGTGAAGTGTGCGGTTAATGACAGGTCTGTTTTGTTTGTCTGGCCCACGCAGAGGTTCTGACAGCCTCTGCTGGAATCTGACAATGGTGCTGTGTTGTCTCCACATGCACGAGTCCATCAATTGATGGCTTTCACTTAAAAAAACGAATATTCAATTGCCTCTGCAACTCATCAAATTGTTGCGATAGACAATGCCGGTAGCAGCTTTGCACACACGTGAACATTTTCAATTCGCAAACTTAATTTTGTTCAAAAGTTAATTAGGAGAAGCTCTGGATGGATATCGCTACATAGAGTGCTGGACTCGTTAAAAAGCAAAGTCGTGATTCTAAATCCCGGGTTAGCGGTTGAATCATCCCATCATTATCATCATCCCACAAAGTGGGCTGATGACGTTTTCAGAACCATTAGCAACTGGTCTCAGTGGGCCAGGAACAGCCTAATTCTGGCTCAGGAGCTGCCCCAGGGCATGGAGTCCTTGTCCCCATGAGGTCTCCCTGGGTTCTGCCCCTCCACCTTTGCATTCTGTCCACCTTCCTCCTACTCTCCACCGTTTGGGGTTAAAGGTTGGAAGGTAGTCTTAAAAAGTTGGTTTAAATAAATAATAAGCATCTAACGCTGGATTTAGTCTGCTTCGACTATTTTAGGTTGAATTTTAATTGTCAAAATGCCTTTTTTTTACAATATTGTTGGGGAGTTCTTCTTCATGCATTTGCTTATCAAAGGTTGATATCCGAGTCCCCTCCAAATGATCACCACCAATTCATCCAGACCAATCAGTCTTCTCATTCCACCTTCTCCCTGTCGTAAGGGACAGTCCTCAGTGATGTGGATTGCGGCTGCTTGCTGTGCAGCTCTGCAGTCACGTGTAGAAGGGATGGGTCACAAACTAAAACGGTGCATCAGGCTGCCAAAACGCCCACGGGTCCAAGAGTCTGATGCAAGGCGGCATTCTCATCTGCCAGGGCATGCAAGGCATATTTCAGGGTGATTGTGTCACGCTTCAGCTGTGCAGA